GACATTTCCTGATTTTAGCGTAACAGAACAGTAGTTTTACTTCCTTAATAATTACATTTATTAATACATTTATTGGTCCTGAGGAAAATTAAACCAAATGTTTATGATTTCATATTTGGTAATATTCAAGCAAATTGATATAACTAAGTAATTTACAAGTGAGTGCAGTAGAGTAATACAAAAACAACAGACACAACCATCAAGACAAGCTTGTTGCGTATGATGTGTGATAATAGTGGTGAGGAATTTAATCAGTAATGTTATCAGGTGGCTTTGAATAGAAGATGATGCTTTTATTGTTCAAAAATGTTTTTTTTCTATTATGTTTCACTAACTGAATAAACTAAAAGTTTAGTCAACAAGCTGAAAGGTTTAACATATTAGCATAAGTATCTGGATGTATTATTACTAACCAGACCTTACTGGTCAATATATATACATATATATATATATATATATATATATAGAAATAAAATTCCTTCACCTTGTGTCTCCTCATTAGTCATTAATTGGTTGTCAACAATCCTCTAAGGACTCCAGGTCCAAGAAAATTAAAGCCATAGTGTGTGCAGGTTGTGTTTCTGCCCAGAGCCTGTGGGACGGCTGTGCTGTCCTGGAGCCGGCTGACATCAAAGTCTTATATCCAGAAAAGCCTGAGGCGGTCAACCGCCAGCAGCTCTGTGACAGGGGAGATGCAATGATGAGTGTGCCAAATCATCTTACAATAGCCCCATGGCTGTTTCTGCTTTTGTTTTCAATTAGCATTCCCAAGATTTTTGTAAGATCCAGATGTGAACGCAATGAAAAATGCATTAAGTACAGCGGAGTGATTTCCAACACTGACGATTTCATGTTTTGTTTCAAGTTATTTCAAAGTTTTAAGATTAGAAAACGATGTTTGGAGAAATACTTGCAAACCTTCAGCAAAGAATAGATTTTTACCATAATACATTATCCTGCGTTTATGATTAGCTGACAGAGTTTGATGTTTCATCAAACATTTAATCATTTCATCAGCTAGAAAAAAACACCAATCTTGGAGTTTTTTTGATAGTTGTAAATTGCCGTTGTAAGCAAGTTGGTCTGAGGTTTCTAAATAACCCCAAAAATGAAGTTTTGAAAAAGCTAATGAATTTTTTGATATATTTATAAAAGATAACATAGCATCAGTTGCAATAATAGAAGTTATATATACACTATGAAGTTTTTTTTATTTTAATGGTACCAGATGCGCATTTGTTAGCTTGTTCCTTTAAAATAGAGATCGAGGAGTAGCAATAGGCTAGTAGCTAGCCTGTTCGCAAAGTTCTTACGTTTGTAAATCTCCCTCATTTTTTTTCACTTGCAGTTCATGTGGATGTGCAGTCATCCCTGGAACAGATTTCTTTTTAAAAAAAAAAAATGTAAACCTGCCTGGGGTCTTTCTGCATGGAGTTTGCATGTTCTCTCTGAGCATGCGTGGGTTCTCTCGGGTTACTCCAGCAAAAACATGACTGTGTTGCCCTGTGTTGGACTGGCAACCTGTCCATGGCGTACCCCGCCTCTCGCCCATTGACTAATGGAGATAGGCACCAGCACCCCCGAACGACCTCACTTGGGACAAGCGTATCAGATAATGGATGGATGGATGCTAGCTACTTTAATTAGCATCCGTGGAGGATTATCTTTTTCCTGGTGGATCATCAAAATAAGTGGTCCTTGTCAATTGTCAATCATTCTGGTGATGTGTTTACTTAAAGGAATAGTACACCCAAAACATGACTAGCCTTCATTTTCTACTCACCCCCAT